GTAAAACAGCGTTTATTTTAACATCTTATCTCTTCATTGTGTTACCTTGGTGCAGTTTAAAACATAGTGTACCCGAGTGCTATTTGAGATGTTTTTGTATTTCACCCCATACACTCTGTCCCGAATGTTATGCTCCTATTTTTGAAAAAGGAGATATTGCTCCATACACCGACCCTGGTTTTTTTATAGCTCTGACTGTGAACAAAGTTTCCCTTCAAAGTACTCTGACATTATATTGGATAACTAGACTGGTCGGAAGGTGGGCTTCGCAAATATAAATGTTCTAACTGTGCCAGCGTTTCTTCACACCTTAGTTGGAGACGTGACAGTTGATTTTTGCTCGAGTTAATTGGGTTGTCATCGGTGTCAACAACCCAGTGAATAGCACTCATAAATTAAGTCCTTCCCAAAATTGACGAACCACATAGAAGCTTTGCCTTTGACGACCGTCTATAGGATGGGCATAAAATTGACATAATTTACGCAAGGCAATATTCCGGTGTTGTGCGCAGTGTGTGTGGGCACCAAAGGCATCGAGTGACGCCTAAAAATAGCAATGTTGGCTGTGAATAACGGCATTGCAGATCGTTCAACCTATTAAAAAATCACAAAAGCGAGAGGAAGGTGTAAAAAAAATGGATGCCTCAAAGGAAATTGGCAGAATGTTATGACTGCTCTGGGAAAATCAATAGCTAACGCAGTGGTGTGTGAGATATTGTGTTTTTGTTTTTAATTCTTAGGATTATAACGTGCTCGTTTATGTCAATCCGCTTGTCATTGGCGGATGCAGACTTAAAGATCGATCGTAGGTCTCAATCATCCCTCTCTGCCTTACAGTTCATTCCCGAACCCCGACAGCAACCGCACAGCTTCTTCAGCCAGTCATACCCAACTTCAAGTGATGCACCACCCGAAGCTTGAACTCGATTAGAGCGTTTGACTCTTAGCAAAATGCTGGCGGATTTGAGCCTCGGGTGTTGCACCATTTGGGGTTGGGTATGACTGGCTGATGACGGCTACTAAGCCAGAAACGGGCCATTCTAGTCTTCTTTGTTGGCCAGCAATATTATCTACAGTAAACTCCAAAGAACACGCAACTTTCATAACTTTGTATAAATTTGATCATTACTCGAATACCAGTGTGA